CAGTCCATGGGGTCGCAAAGAGTCGGACAATACTGAGCTACTTCACTTTCTTTTCACTTTCTTATTTTGCCCCAAACCTGATATCTAAATGAAAAGCAAAGTTTTTATTTCAAAATGTCCTTATGAGGTACTCATTCAAAACAAGTTTGTGATGAAAAATGATAAGTCCACCCAATGTTGACAATGAAATAATACAGAGTCTACTTTTCTTTTAGAAAAACAAGGCAGTTCTTGATGCAATTGTAGGGTCGTTTTCAAAACGTCAGGAATTTTCTTTTCCTCTGTACACATTTGCTTATACAAGTGTGTTCTGTGAGTGTGGGGGATGACCTCTCTAAACGATGTCTCCCGGCAGCCTTAGATACTTAACAGACCAAGAGTCCACACAGCAGACCCAGAGTAAGACGCTGGAGCCATGAAGCAAAGAGATGGTGAGCAACAAGTGACAGAACAATGAGCAGCAAAACTTCCTCCCCTCTGGAGAAGCAGACCAGTCACAGATGGACAGAGGATTACAAGATTATGCCGTGTGACAAAGCCACTGCATTCCCGCAGGAGCTCCACAGGTCTAAGGCCAGATGGGATCATTTGTCTTACCCCATGACCCAGACTATGGAATGCAACCAACACATTTTCTGGCTGGCTTCAGGCCAAATCATATCTCCTGCTTTTCTCGTGTATACAAGAGCATGCTTTTCACAAGCTGGTTCTAAACCATCAAAGCAGGTGGATACTTGATCAATGACTGGTGGCTCCAGGAACATGTCACATTTCTTCTACATTCATAAGACAAAAGTAGGCTTGGTGAAGTATGGCCCAAAACAAATGATGTGGCTTCTCTATTAGAAAAGCCCTGAATATATCAGGGGGTTAAAAATGTTATTTGCTTCACTGTGGTCACTGAGAACTTAGTAGTGGTCACTCCATTTGAGAACTTCAGGAACCCTTGTGAAGTCATAAAATCTGGTTTAATTCCTATGTATTAATAGTATTAACATGTAGTAACTGAGAACCAGGTAGAAACATGGGAAAGTGGAATTTCATACTGTAGAGTCAGAGTTATCTCAGTCTTTGCAAGTCAAGGAGGAACTGCAGGACTATGGAGTCCGTGTTTCAGTGGGGAGCTACTAGTGACAGAATATAAAGTCTATTACACAAGCCTGGACCTAAGGTAGCTCTCAGACACTAGAAATCAAACACAAGACAGTTTGTCGGTTTGCCAGAAGCCTAAGAAGCTCTCAACAAATCGCAAAGAGCTGAGAGACACCACTCCAGAGGTAACTGATGGCATCTTATGTTCAAAGATCTGAAGAGTTAACATTGTTAAATTGGCACTATTCCTGTCATGGATATATAGACTCAATCCTCTTTAAATTTCCACCCTGTTTGTTTGCAGGAATTAACATGCTGATCCGAAAAGACAAAGGGAAATTCAAGGAACCCAGGATAGCCAAACAATCTTGAAAAAGACCAAAGTTGAAAGACTCACACTTTCCAATTTTAAAATTTTCTACAACGTTACAGCAATCAAAACAGTATGTTACTTACATAAGGATAGACATATTTGTCAATGGAATAAAACTGAGAGCCCAGAAATAAATAAGTCACATTTACGGTCAACTGATTTCTGACAGGGTTATCAAGACAATACAGTGGGGGAAAGAATGCTCTTCTCATCAAATGGTGCTGGGACAACAGGATTTTGACATGAAAAATGAATGAATTTGGACCCTTATGCACACCATATGCAAAAACAAACTCAAAATGTATCAAAGACTTAAATGTAAAAGCTAAAATTATAAAATTCTAAGAAGAACACAGAGGCATAAATCTGTTATCTAGGACTAGGCAATGATTTCTTAGACACCAAAAGTACAAGCAACAAAATAAAAAGTAGATAAACTGAACTTTATAAATATAAAACCTTTTTGGTGGCAAAAGACATCATCAAGAAAGTTAAAAATAACCCACAGAGGAAAAATATTTCCAACATATATATATGAAAAGGACATAGAGCTAGGGGACAAAGAGACATTACAACTCAATAATAATAAGACAAATAAGCCAAGTTAAAAAATGAGCAAAGTATCTGAAGACATTTCTATAAACAAGATACGCAGATGGCCAATAAACACATGAAAAGATGCTCAACATCATTACTTATTAAGAGAATGGGAATAAAAAATACAATGAGATAAGATTTCACACCCACCAGGATGGCTATAATCAAAAAAGATAGATAAATAACAAGTGTGGTGGGGGGTGAAAATTTCATACATTACTGGTAGCAATGCAAAATGGTGCAGATGCTTTGGAAAACAAGTGTAGTAGTTCTTGAAAGGGTTAAGCTTAGAGTTACCATACAAACCAGCAATTTCACTCCTAAGTATATATCAAAAATATATACATCCACACAAAAACTGTACATGAATAACAGCATTTTTCATAATATCCAATGAGGTGGAAACAATCCCAATATTTATCAATGGGTAAATATTGATATTAAAAATTATCAACAGATGAATGGGTAAATAAAATGTGGTCTATCCAAGCAATGGAATATTATTTGGCAGTCAAAAGGAATGAAGTACTGATATACACTCCAATATGGATGAAGCTTAAAAACATACACTAACAGAAGGAATCCAGATACAAAACACTACATATAGGCAAGTTTATAGAAACATAAAGTGGTTGCCTAGGGTAGGGCAAAGAAGGTGGTGCCTTGAATTGGGAGTAATGAAGAATGACTGCTAAAAAGTACCAATGGGGTTTTGGGAGGGGCAATGAAAATTTTCTAAAATTGATAGTGGTAATAACTGTACAATTCTTTGACTATACTAAAAACTATTGAATTCTACACTTTAAGTAAGTGAATTCTATGATATGAAAGTCTATCTATTTACCTATCTATCTACCTATCTATAAAGAAGTTGCTAGTTATCTGCACTGATAGACCTTACCTGAAGGCTCAAGAGAACTGCCATGGCATGATTCAACAAGAAGTCATCCCTGGATTACAGATTAATTGTTGTTGTTGTTCAGTCGCTAAGTCATGTCTGATTCTTCGCGTACCCATGGACTGGCCCACCAGGCTCCTCTGTCCATCAGATTTCCCAGGCAAGAATACTGGAGTGGGTTGCCATTTCCTTCTCCAGGGGATCTTCCCGGATCAGGGATTGAACCCATGTCTCCTGCATTGACAGACATTCTTTACCACTGAGCCAGCAGGGAAGCCCACAGATTAATTAGGCCTAGCAGTAGTATTTTGAGGGTAAAAATTTATCACCTTACTGGAGACACTACCATATTTTCATTTTTTGTTTTTGTGAAAAGGTTGGCCTGTGAGTGTTTCTCTAAGGTAGCAAGAACAGCACTAGGCACACGCTGGCATGCTCCCCATTTCAGGGAGCGGCCCGAGGCTCTCACCTGACCATCCGGGGAGGCAGCGGCAGTGGCCCGTGGTGGGGTGGCAGCCGTCCGCATGGCTGCAGTCACAGCGCTCCGCACAGTTCAGCCCGTAAGTGCCATCCTACATGGAAGACAGCAGTGAGGGGTGCGAATCCCGCAGTGGGCAACCTCGGGCAGCCAGTTAACAAAGAGCACCCGCCCCTCCCAATCACCTCGCAGCAGCCTGCACTACAATCACCCCTTCCCTTGTCTTCTTGGCTCCTAAAATACTGGCTGCAAGGGGTAAGTGTTTTCATAACACTCAAACCTTAGTTTACGTCTAGCATACAAATGGTGAAACCAACTGCATCAATAGGCTGGTGTGCATATGTGCAAAGATAGGTAAACATGCCAATGAATTAAAAGAACCTTTATCTTATTGTGAGCCATAACTCATAAAAATATTGACTTCTTGTTCCTAAAGATTTTTATAAAACAGTTCAGTAACTCCTTACAGGGTATTTTTTTTCCCCTCACTGAGGTATAATCCACATATGTTACATTAGTTTCAGGGGTAAAACATAATGATTTGATATTTATATATATTGTGAAATGATTACCACAATAAGTTTAGTTAATATCCGTCCCCACACACAATCCCAGAATTTTTTTCTCCTACAGAATGTTCTATTTGTTAGTGAAAAAAGAAGACTCTGATCCACATAAAGAAGCCCTATATGTGGAATCTTAAAAAAAAAAAAAAAGTGGTATAAATTAACTTATTTACAAAACAGAAGTAGAATCACAGATGCAGAAAACAAACGTGGTTACCACGGTGTAAGGGGACGGGGGAGGGATAAACTGGGAGATTGGGACTGACAAATACATACTTCTAAATATAAACTAGATAACTAATAAGGACCTACTATTTAGCACAGGGAACTCTACTTAGCACTCTGTAATGACCTATATGGCAAAGAGTCTAAAAAAAAACAAAAAAAAGTGGCTATATGTATATGTATAACGGATTCACTTTGCTGTAGACCTGAAATTAACACAATGTTATAAATTAACTATACTCCAATAACGTTTTTTTAAAAGAAGCCCTAAAAATTTAAAAAACAACATAGTTCTAATTGAATTAAGAGCATGTCCATAAATCGCCAGTGAGATACACAGAACTATAAGGAGAAATGAAAACCTTTTGTCACTTTTTCCTAATTAGCATCCTCTCTCCCATGATGACTCTGAACAACACGAAGTGCTCTGATTCAAGCTCCTAAGCAGGGTGTGCCTGCATACCCGCCCCTTCATCCCCTCCCGGACCTTCATGTTTTCACACAAACATCCACGTTGGTGGTCCTGCGGAGATGAGGCTCTTCACGGACGGGATCATTTAGTTTGAGGGAGAGGAATGAAAGCTCCACATTTACAAGCCCTGATCCTTCATGCCAGGTCCTAAGGAACTGAGGGAGGGCACTGCAAACCTCCCACAGCACCAAGCACTAAGGAAAACAGGGGCTGTGAAATTACCAACAGCGGGGCACCCAGAACCAGCATTCAACGGGTTCATGCGTGATCAGACACTCAGTCGTGTCCAACTCTTTGCAACCCCATGGACTGTAGCCCACCACGTTTCTGTGTCCATGGGATTTTCCAGGCAAGAATACTGGAGTGGGTTGCTACTTTAGTATGTTAAATGGCATATTCACTTGTCTAGTGATTATTAAGATAAAATATTTTTTAAATTAAGTTCTACTAATGTTTGCCCAGGCTTATAGGATTTAGCTTGGCCATAATATGAGCCACTAAAAACCATTTCCAGCCTTGGCTGATTTACTAACGCATCTAATAACATACCAAAAAAACAGACAAGATGGTGTAGATTTGCTTTGTCTACACTTAGACTTGTGTAAGTGAAAGGTGATCTTTAAGCCCATCTCAGAGCACTGAAAATCTGCTCACTGGAGGATGACAGGAGGCAAAACTAACAAAACTGTGTTCTAGGGGTTTGGAGGGCATGGAATAGACCCTGGGCTCTCTAGCTGGGAAATGGGTTGCACTTAATGAGGAGGAAGCCCAAGGAGAAAAGCGCTCTGTGGAAGGGCCCCCTGGAGCTGTCCAGTTCAGGGGGTCATGATGTCACTTTATCATCACGTGATGCCCAGGAGGCATAGCATACACACCACTGAGAGAATGCTTAATGGCTCAGGACAAAATAACTGCCTAGGGTGAGAAAGCTACGGAATAGAGGCAAGGAAACTGGCCCGTACTTTAGAGGGAGAAAGTGAAATGGGCTGTTACTACAGAAAGCACTGTCCATTGCCCACTCTTATTGGCCTGCGGCAGACTCAGTACGGGGTCGGGGGTGTATCTCCAAAGTAGGTGAAGGGAGAGAGTCGGCACTGAACCATGGAAATCTATGGAGATCTGGGTGACTCCAGAGATATTTGTGCTAAAAGACGGCTGTTTTCAAACCTTTCACCACCTCACTGAACCCTTCTGTGACACCGTCACCACCCCCCTTTCAATGCCCTGCCACTTTCCACCCCAAAGGCTGGGGGATTTCCATGATAATGGAAACACAATATTTGGAGAGTTGACAGGCATACAGTGGATGTTTGACAAATACTGATGACTGGTTGCCATGAAGAGATGGGTATATTAGAACAGAGAAAACAGAGGGGAGAGGCGGGAGGAACTAGGAGAGAGAGGATAAAAGGGATTCTCACAAAGCTGCCTAACCAATTTCCGCATCTTTCCCTCTTCTTATCCTGTATCCGATCTGAGTTCAAACATCCCAATTCTGCCACAGGGACTCTAGTTTGGTTCACAATAGGGACTTTAAATCATGAAGTCTAAATGGAAAAATAAAATAAAAAAAATAAATTAAAAAAAAAAATCATGAAGTCTGCAAAAAACAAGCTAACCCTCTGCCATCGGATCCCCCTGGCACTCCCAGCTGAGTCATACCTGGCAGGGAAATTCACATTTCTCCCCACGCCATCCAGGTGCACATGTACAGGTCCCGTCCAGGGTGTTGCAGGCTCCGCCGTTGAGGCACTGGCATGTTAAGTTGCAGCCAAAGCCCCATGTGCCATGATGACTGGTTGCCATGAAGAGATGGGTATATTAGAACAGAGAAAACAGAGGGGAGAGGCGGGAGGAACTAGGAGAGAGAGGATAAAAGGGATTCTCACAAAGCTGCCTAACCAATTTCCGCATCTTTCCCTCTTCTTATCCTGTATCCGATCTGAGTTCAAACATCCCAATTCTGCCACAGGGACTCTAGTTTGGTTCACAATAGGGACTTTAAATCATGAAGTCTGAAAAAAACAAGCTAACCCTCTGCCATCGGATCCCCCGGCACTCCCAGCTGAGTCATACCTGGCAGGGAAATTCACATTTCTCCCCATGCCATCCAGGTGCACATGTACAGGTCCCGTCCAGGGTGTTGCAGGCTCCGCCGTTGAGGCACTGGCATGTTAAGTTGCAGCCAAAGCCCCATGTGCCACTGGGGCAGCTGATGGAGCAGTCCACCCCGTGCCAGCCTGCCATGACAAGAGCGCCAGGGCACGTGAACAAAGGCAGCACGGAGCTGGCCAGCCTCTCCCAGCCACACTTCCCCTTAGAAACATCTTGGAGGTAGGCAGCAGCGCCCCTGCCCTAGCGCAGGGAGCATGGTGCTGCCGTGTGAAGCCTTTCTCAGAACTGAACCAGAGCACTAGCACAGTGTCAAGGATGTCAACAGTGAGAAGTGCTACTGGGGGGAAAAGATGTCAAGTTGGGGGCACCTCACTATCTAACATGCAGTGATGCACACTGCGGGATGCGGAGTTTTGTGCAGGTCGGGAAATAAAATATTTATATGGGAAGGAAAAGGAAAGTGCGTTTGAAAGAACATCCCCATCTTTAAAGCAGGACCCCATGAACCACGAACAGTGAGTGTCCACAACCCTGGCTGCTGCAGAAACTATGGATAAAGATGCTTTGGCCCCCACGTACAATCAGGTATTTGACTGCATCTCTTGTCACAACTCCAGGCCAATCGATTAAGGGGCACGGACACAGGTCTGCTTGCTTACTCTTCCCCAAAGCACAGAGACTCACAGATTTTGGAGCTGGCAGTGACTTTAGAGATCATCTCACTGGAGCCTCTCCCCTTGACTTTGGAAAGCAGGGAGAGCCCTTCCCAGGTAAGGGGGTTTGCTGAGTCCAGGCACTGTATTTTGGCAAAGCTGGAGCTAGAATCCTGGCCAAGGTTTCTTTCCTGTGTCTTTAGGAGCTAACAGAACCGGGATCAGATAACAGACTCATTCACCCACTCACCTGCATTGCAAGTACAAGATCCATCCACAGGAGAGCAGACAGCGTCATTTTTACAGCTGCAGACGGAGGAACAGTTTATCCCATAGGTCCCCAGAGGGCATGGGATGGAGCAGTCAATTCCCTAGACAAGTGCAAATAGGAAAATGCATGCAGTTTGACCATCTGAAATAGGGCCAATACAAATATACAAAAATATATCTTGGCCATGCTGATTATACTCTCTCTCTCATTTTAACACACCGTATTTTTTTAAAGAGTTTTATAACTGTACAGATATACAAACTGTACAGATCCAAGGGCAATGCCAGCTGGCCTATATTTAGGATACGAGTATTGAATATGACCCAAAAAGCCCTGCTGCCATCATTACTTTTCCTTGGTAGCAAATACAGAATCCTCTGTCCTTGCTCACACAAGTAGATATGCAGCTGTATAATTATTGCAGCTGTAAAATTATTGTCTATAAATAAACATAAATATGAACTATATATTAAATTGCAATGATTCTTAGACTGCTTTATGTAATATGTAATATGATCAGTAGGTAAGGCAAAGAAACAGAACTCATTTAGCCTGCAGCATGATTCAATTTATTATCTGACAGGGAGCATTAAACACAGAAGTTGGTCACCGAAGGTGACTGGAGGTCACCTCCTTTCAAAGCAGAAGAGACAAAGAGACTCTTAAGGCTAATTCAAGGGCTCAACCAAAGCATTGTGACCCAGGTTAGAAAACCCTGTAAAGATCTCAGCTCTGAGACTTTGTGACCCACTCATTCTATATTATGTGCTCTGGAATAGTCATTAACATTCTTCACAGTTTAATGTTCTCTTTATTTCTTTTTTTTATCCAATGAGTTCTATAATGTTGTCTTTAAAATGGGAGAAAATAATTCAAAAGCAGCCCATTTTCCTTTAAAACAAAAATTGCTAATCTGTGGCTAAGAAATCCTGGAAACTAGCAAAATTCTGCTCAATGAGCTTATAGGCATATTTGAAAGGTCTGGATTCTCAAAGGGACTGAAACACTTACATACTACTAATCCTTGGCTGTTAATACATAATAAATGCTAACTATGCCTTCATATTGCATGGAATTAAAACATAAACTGTGGACAAGAAAACATATCCTATTTGGAAAAGTAATTTCTTTGCTACCTATAAATTATCTACATGATGAGATAATTACATGGTTACATAAGGAATAATTAAAATACATCTTACTTCATGATATATATTAATTAAATTATTAAATATTAATGCCCCTTTAGAGTTTCACCAGCTTTCCCAGGCATCATTCTCAAGTAATTATTTATATCTCTGGTTATTTTTTTTCTCTTTATTTTCTTCCTTGTTAATGATGCGAATGGTTTTTAGCACATTCCCTGGGTTTCAGAGAAAAGTCATATAAATCGAGGTACCAATGTGCTCCAAGCTGCACCCCTCCGAGCCTCCTTCTGTGGAAGGAGCCCAAGCCACTCACTTTGAATCCTGGGGCACAGACGCACTTTCCTGTCACACTGTCACAGTCAGCCCCGTTCTGGCAGCTGCAGATCTGTTGGCAAGCTTCCCCATAGAATCCAGGAGAACACGTCTCATTACAGTAGAGTCCCGACCAGCCTGGCTTGCAGGCACACTCTCCAGACATGGGGTGACAGCTGAGGGATGTGGATGAAAAGAGCAAGTCACTCGCGAGTAAACATGACACCCAAGGCTTGCACAAATGTTGCTCTAGCCACGATCACGAATTGTGTTGGTAATTCCATACATAACAATCTAAACTTCATTCTCAGGCTTGATATGGTTTAATTAATCGGCTAAAAGCTGACTGGTACCACAAATGTTGCATGAAATCAGCATCATGCTCTAGCAGGACGACTCCTGTAACTGTGTCCCTTTGTCTGAAACTCAATTTAATTTTTGTCAAGTGAAAGCACTAATATGATAAGAGGTCAACTGGATAAGACGATCTGAAGAACCCCATCCAACAAACACCACCAAGTCAGTTAGCAGGGATGATGTCCAAGGAACCCCAGACGCAGTGACCTTTTCAGCCTAGCCTACTTCTCTCAGCTCCCCTTACCTGGTGGCGGAGCAGCTGTCTCTACCTGAAACGGCAGCCACATTGATGGGCCAGGCAGCCAGCTGTCATTCCACAGCAAATGGACACATCAGCTGTGCTGAGGCACGGGTTAAGGAGGCTCACACAATAGGGTGCTCTGTATTGCTCAAAACACATGTGCTTCTCGCCAAAGGAAAATCTGAACAATCATACCAGCTCTGCTCACAACTGGAAGACTGTTGAATATGGTCTTCCTCCCCTAATGGAGATAAAACCCTTCCCTTAACTTGGGCCATAACAAAACCCACTGTCTCATCTAGACATCTGCTAAATGATCTCTTACCAGAGAACTGTTCACAGATTTTCTGCAAAGAACCATGACCTGGAAGGGATGAGGACTGAGGCTGTAAATTTCAGCTCTCCCACAACCTGGCCAACCACAATGAAAGCACATAACCTCCCTGGGCCTGACATCCTAATCTGTCAAATGAGGGTCTCACTACACATCGTAATCTCATTTCCTGTCTTTTTCTTAAAGAAAATGGCTGTGGGTTAGACAGTTTGCTACTCATTTTCAGAAATTTATTTAAATACGCTTTTGGACCCCTGTTGCAACTAAGCGCCCATAAACAAAGGCATAGGCATCCATCACAAGCATGACTCAGGAAACATGGAAGGAAGGAATAGCCAAGCACAATCCTATATATAAGATGGTTTCTTGGGTATAGAAGATTTGGATTCCAAAAACAAGGTCTGAATCTCAAATCTACTTAGAATTACTCAGATCTACTTATCCAGTATTTATTCTTGGGCAAAAGACCCAACATCTCCATGGCTTCTCAGACTCAACCCATCAAAAATAGAGCCCCGGCTCTCCCCTTTCACCATTCCTCACTCAGTGTTTCCTCTCCATTACTTCCCACTAAAGCAATGGAACCAACCAGCCACTCAGTGGTTTAAGTTAAAAACCTCAGTTATCCTTAATAACTCTCATCTCCTGTGCTGACTTCATCACTAGGACCTAACCATTCTAACTCCACAATATATCTCGACTCTATTCATATCTCTCCATCGTCAGTGTCACCATCCTACTCCAAGGCAAGGGCATCTGTCTCCTCCACTCCTGAAGAGCCTTTCAATCTTCCTCCCTGTGCTCACTCATGAATCATCAACTAAAAAACAGATCATATGGTATCACTATCAAGGGCTCCCTTAGAAGCCTACACTCAGAATAAACTCCATAATGTTTAATACAGCTACATTGAAAATTATTTACTGTCTAAACCAGGGCATTTTTAAGGATGAAGAGAAAGTTACTAATAATTACATTAGGACAACAGACCTAAACCAAACAGTTCCGAGACATTTATCCAAGACATTGGATAAATGATGACCTTAGGAGTTGGTGATGGACAGGGAAGCCTGGCGTGCTGCAGTCCATGAGGTTGCAATGAGTTGGACATGACTGAGCGACTGAACTGAACTGAAACACAGCCCACAGGCCTTCATCAACTGGTCACTGCTTACTTTTCAATCTTTTCTTTCATCATTATTCTCTCTCTTTATTACTATGCTCAACTGCAATAGATTTCTTTTACTTTGTAAGAGCATCGAACTTTTTCAAAGTTAAGGGCTTCACATGGGCTTATTCCATGTGCCAGGAATGCCATCTCTCCACTCCTGGCCTACCTCTCTCAATCTTATCCTTCCAGGCCCAGCTTAAATCTCTCCTCCTTAGAGACCTCCCCTGACCACATTTCAGTTAGGAATCTCCTGTTATTCTCTTTCATTGCCCTCTGCTCATCTCACTCGTCACGATCTGTAATCTTATGCTTATTCTTACCAGCCTTCCCTTGTCTCCCTTCCCCTGTAGGCTTCGATTTCCAGAAGAACGAGAATTAAGTTTGTTTCGTTACCATACAGTGAAAGTGAAAGTGAAGTCGCTCAGTTGTGTCCGACTCTTTGCGACCCCACGGACTGTAGCCTACTGGGCATCCCCGTCCATGCGATTTTCCAGGCAAGGGGACTGGAGTGGGTTGCCATTTCCTTCTCCAGGGAATCTTCCCGACCCAGGGATCGAACCCAGGTCTCCTGCATTGCAGGCAGACACTTTACCCTCTGAGCCACTAGGGAGGCCCTTACCATACAGTAGGCCCATGGTAAACATAGATTGAGTGAACAGGTGAAAACATCAGAGCTGATGTGTGTGTGTGTTGGCGGGGGTGGGGCACAGAATCTGCCTCCCCTGATCTCTCCAAGTCATCCAGCCTTGTTAGGTTATAATCTGTATGTCTGCATACAAAGGCCAGATGTCCCCTAAAGTTAGTTTTTAAAATGTCAACTTTATAGCTTAAAAGGAATCACCATTAATACTTTCATCATTATTCTCTCTCTTTATTACTATGCTCAACTGCAATAGATTTCTTTTACTTTGTAAGAGCATCGAACTTTTTCAAAGTTAAGGGCTTCACATGGGCTTATTCCATGTGCCAGGAATGCCATCTCTCCACTCCTGGCCTACCTCTCTCAATCTTATCCTTCCAGGCCCAGCTTAAATCTCTCCTCCTTAGAGAGCCTCCCCTGACCACATTTCAGTTAGGGATCTCCTGTTATTCTCTTTCATTGCCCTCTGCTCATCTCACTCATCACGATCTGTAATCTTATGCTTATTCTTACCAGCCTTCCCTTGTCTCCCTTCCCCTGTAGGCTTCGATCTCCAGAAGAACGAGAATTAAGTTTGTTTCGTTACCATACAGTGAAAGTGAAAGTGAAGTCGCTCAGTCGTGTCCGACTCTTTGCGACCCCAGGGACTGTAGCCTACTGGGCTCCCCCGTCTATAGGATTTTCTGGGCAAGGGGACTGGAGTGGGTTGCCATTTCCTTCACCAGGGGATCTTCCCGACCCAGGGATCAGGCAGACACTTTACCCTCTGAGCCACTAGCGAGGCCTTTACCATACAGTAGGCCCATGGTAAACATAGATTGAGTGAACAGGTGAAAACATCAGAGCTGATGTGTGTGTGTGTGTTGGCGGGGGTGGGGGGTGGGGCACAGAATCTGCCTCCCCTGATCTCTCCAAGTCATCCAGCCTTGTTAAGTTATAATCTGCATGTCTGCATACAAAGGCCAGATGTCCCCTAAAGTTAGTTTTTAAAATGTCAACTTTATAGCTTAAAAGGAATCACCATTAATTGCAGGGAACAGTCATTTAAGTGACATTTATGATGATGCTGCAAGTGGGTGTACAGACCAGCCCTGAATGTATGCTAACATCATGCTACACAATCCACGTGGATGATTTCATTTAATGCTCACAACGTTAGGTATGACTCTATTTTGTAAATGAGGGGACAGAGACCTGGAAAGAAGTACTAATTATTCCAAGTCTCACACAGGTAATGGCAGAATCAAACTTGAACCCAGATTTATTTTTTTGTTTCCACACCAAAGGAAAAGGAAATTTGATAGCAGTCTGGTAGGAGGGCTAGATATGAAAAGGAATTGTTAAGACTTAGGATTTTGCACAGATAAAAGGGTTATTATTAGGACCAATAGAAGCCTGAATTGTGCAAAAAGCAGGGACAAATTTAATTTTATTTTAGTAAGGCCCTACATATGACAAAAAGAAAAGAAATATTCCAAATGATGAGCTGGTTAAAGTAGTTTACCTTAAGATAAATACTATTTTTAAAAAGGACATCTATTGGTAAGAAATGTTACTCAATAATAAAAAGCAGAAAACAATATACATGGTATAGATACAAATGTTAAACAGAATAGACAATTCAGGGACAGGGAATAGAACTAAGCTAGAGACAGACAGAGAAATTGATATTCAATGCCCCCCAGTGAGCATTAGTGCGGCACACTGGTTCTCAGATTGATTGACACCAAAATTAGTATTCTGCAATTTGTAATTAGATGTAGGAAGCTAGAGCACTTTGGAGGCATTTGATGGGTTCTCATGCAGGCAGCTTAATTGGTAATGAGATTTACGTTGTGAGAGGAGCAGAGTGGAGGTGGAAGGGTAATATCCTCCTACCTGATTTCTTTCTAAGCAACAGACTGCTTTGTGTAATATGGAAATTGGACTATACACAGATTGGAATACCTACCATTTTATACATTTACATGTATAACTAGATAAAAACATTCTAGTAAATTTTTCAATTTGAGTTCAGTTATTACAGGTAGCCAAATGTTGGCTAAAATAGAAAGAATCACTGAACTTCCTTGTATTCATTTCCTTAGATATTATTAATGCTCAAATATATGACAATTAGGTGGCATTTGCAAGTAGGCACATCCTGATTGCCCACAGCTATTAAATGTCCTTATTAACAAGAGCTAATATACATATCTCATGCAGAATCTCAGTGAATCTTGAATTTTGTTTTCCTATTCAAGATTATTTCCACTACAGAAGTCAGTTTTAAGAATTCCAGGTCACAGAGAATGCCCTTAGGCTCTGTAATAGTACTGTAATTGAAAATACTAGCATCACTTATAAATATATTTAATTTCATCTCAACCTTATGATAGCTTGAAAAATAAAAATGGTTACAAATGCATTGTAACTCCATCCCCCAATAAGTGGAGGATAAGGAATCTGGACTTGGTTATGACACCTTCTCTGTCTAGAGAGACATTAGCAAACATGGTATAACCAAAGGTTTGAAAAGTGTTTGCATGTTGGGGCTTGCCCTGTCTCTTGCAGCTGTTGAGAAGCCAGTTACCAAGCACAGAAGCTCAGGCTAAGGTGCTAGATGGCTGGGGGCATATGGCTCAGTGAGTCCCATCACTCAACCAAATGCTAGACATGTGAGTGACACAGGAAATCCAGCCTCTACTTGATCTGCCAACTGAATACACACAGACCACCGGAAGAACCACCAAGCTGAGCCCAGCCCAAAGCGTCAAGCAAGAAATCCTCAGCTAATAAATAAATGTTGTTGGATAGGCTTTTTGTTTGTTTGTTTTATGCAGCAAAACAACTGATATAAACCCTTACTCAAATATATGACTTCAATATATGTCAGTATGTGAACATTCATAGAACTCAAAATTTACCTAAAGATTCTATAAATTAATACTTTTCATTTCATTAGTTATCTCATTAATTATAACAAAGGATTTTAGGATAGACATCATGTATTATGCAATAGCAAGCTACACTCTTGCCTGATTAAATGGTAGGCTAAACTTTGAATTAATACAGAGATTCTATGCCTTTTGGTTCAAAAGGAACTTTGTGTTTTCAAGAATTTTACATAGAAGTCCAAGATTTAAGAGTAGAAGGGTGGCTCCAACTGTGAATTCAAAAAGACAAGAGTCATATCTGTATAACTATCAAATAAGTTCATTTACTTCTTTGTTAAAGCATATGTGCTTAGATACACATGAGCTATATCAAAATTATATAGTATTGACATCAATCAAATAACTGTCAACTTGTACCCTGCATCTACTATTATGGTAACTAATTTCAGTAAAATGAACATTTCCTCTGCTTCTCCAATTATTCTCAAAGCAGAGATCCTTTGTATAGGTTTATTAATCTATTTGATTTCAGGCTGTATCTACAAATGAAACAGCACACTGGCATTAAAAAGTCCTTAGCTATTACCAATGAGAATCACCTTTTGTTGGGAGAACCCTCACACTGCAGGAAAGGCAGTCAAAATTCAACACTGGAGAGTTGAAAAACAACCAAAATCCTGTAGAGATTATTTATTTTTATTCTCCAAATGATTATTTAACCTGTCCTGTAAAGCCAGCATTTGTGTTTTCAAGAATTTTACATAGAAGTCCAAGATTTAAGAGTAGAAGGGTGGCTCCAACTGTGAATTCAAAAAGACAAGAGTCATATCTGTATAACTATCAAATAAGTTCATTTACTTCTTTGTTAAAGCATATGTGCTTAGATACACATGAGCTATGTCAAAATTATATAGTATTGACGTCAATCAAATAACTGTCAACTTGTACCCTGCATCTACTATTTTGGTAACTAATTTCAGTAAAATGAACATTTCCTCTGCTTCTCCAATTCTTCTCAAAGCAGAGATCCTTTGTATAGGTTTATTAATCTATTTGATTTCAGGCTGTATCTACATTCAATGAAACAGCACACTGGCATTAAAAAGTCCTTAGCTATTACCAGTGAGAATCACCTTTTGTTGGGAGAACCCTCACACTGCAGGAAAGGCAGCCAAAATTCAACACTGGAGAGTTGAAAAACAACCAAAATCCTGTAGAGATTATTTATTTTTATTCTCCAAATGTTTATTTAACCTGTCCTGTAAAGCCAGCAATATTTCCCAATGAAAAAGACCAGAAACTGACTAAAGAGGCTTGCTAACTTCTGGAGACACATTAAGAATGCACTTCTTTAATATGTCCACTAAAATGTATTTCAGTGCATGCATACACACTGCAAAGTTTTTTTTTTTTTTGTTCCCAACAATGGTTTAAAGAAGAGACCAACCACAGGCTTCTATTTAGTTTTGACTTTAGTGCATTTGAGATTTAATGTGACCACAAGTTATCTTTTAGAAGCATAAATGAAATAACAGCTGTGCTGAATGCAAATAAAGGCAATTCTGGTGCCATCTGAACTGCTATATAATGTACCACATTATAGTCAAACTCAACTTCTCCAGCAGTGTGTAAACGAGGCCCAGAATTCTAAGTGATGTGTATCTGGTCCTTGGGGGAGGCAGAGGAAAGAAATGGTTGGAAAGACATTTTCAGGGGCAGACAAAGTACAGTAAAGAGGGTGGGATTTGGGTTTCCTGTTCTTAAGTTCTTCAAGAGATTTTTGAGCCTTTAAAAGACCCCTGTGAGCTCTATGTTTGAGTAATCAATTCTGAACACACATCTCACATGTGATGACCACAAGTGAAGCATTTTCTCAAAACTTCCACCAGTCCACTTCCTGCCTATACAGACACTGTGTAAAGAGGCTGCCGTGAGAATCATTTTGTGATGGTTTTACATACTCAACTGGGGTTAACCTATGTCTCTCGTTGCGTCTTGGCTGCTAAAGGAATGTCACAGAATCCCTCTCTTAGGGAAACATTGTACTAACCTCAGCGAGTTTAATTTTTTCCAGTGGTCATTAACAGAGAATAGGATTTCATATCCATCCACAGCCATTAACAACTTAAGCAGTTCTGACTTGGACCATTGAGTGTAAACGTCTTCCTATATTGAGTGGTTCCTGCCCAGGAGGACCCAGAGACAGGAAGAGTCTCAGGATGGGAATATCTCTGACGATCCCTCCTTCCAAATAGTGGAGAGTGTGTGTTAGTGACTCAGTCATGCCTGACTCTCTGTGACCCCATGGACTGTAGCCTGCCCGGCTCCTCTGTCCTTGAAATTCTCTAGGCAAGAATATTGGAGTGGGTTGCCATTTCCTCCTCCAGGAGATCATCCCAACCCAAGGATCGAACCTGAGTCTCCTGCACTGCAGGTGGATTCTTCACCATCTGAGTCATCAGGGGCCCTGCAGTGAAAACTGTAATAGAACACATCACTCCCGGGGCAGCTGACCCTCACCTGAGAGTGTTGTCCACGTGGCAGGGACACCGCTTGTCACATCTGATGCCATAGAGTCCTTCTGGACACAGGCGTGCTTCACAGCGGTCACCAGAGAAGCCTGCTTCGCAGAGGCAGGAGCCACTCACGTGGTAACACTTCCCTCCGTTGACGCACCGGCAAGTCTCCGCGCAGAGAACTCCGTAGGTGCCAACGGGACACTCATCCTGGCACCTGTCGTGCAGGAGGGCGGAGTGCGAGACGGGTCAGTGCTTTGTGGAAATAAGCAGCGGGTTCAGGCAGGTTTTGGTGTACACACACTTATACCCTTTTTGGATTTGATATTTACTTAGTGACTGTCCCATCACAGACATGAAAAGCATTAAGAAAAATTATAGTAGTAACAGTCATACAACCTGTTTAAAGAAATAGTAAAATCAAAAACAAATGGTGAATTTGAGATGGGAAGCATGTTTTATACCTAGTCCTTGCTAAAGGTATACAAATCACTTTAGTAGATATCAGGAAAAGGAGAAAATGAATTGCCCAAGTGTGAGTCCCAGCCCATTATCAGGGAATTAAAACATGCTGTCTCTCAAAAAATGAAATAATGCCATTTGCAGCAAACATGGATGGACCTGGAATTTATCATGTTGAGTAAAGTAAGTCAGTAAAAGATAGACATCATATAATACCACCTATACATGGAATTTAAACAAATGACATAAATGAATTTACTTACAAAACAGAAACAGCCTCATAGACATAGAAAACAAACTTATGGTTACCAAAGTGGGTAGTTGGTCGAGGGAGATAAATTAGGAGTTTAGTATTAACAAATACACACTGCTATATTCAAAATAGGTAAACAACAGGACCTGCTATATATAGCATGGTGAACTATACTCAGTCTCTCTTAATAACCTTAAATGAAAAAGAATCTGAAAAAGAATATGTATGTATAACTGTGTCACTTTGTTGTTCACTTGAAACTAACACAACATTAACTATGAATTAACTATTAAATAAATTAACTATTCTTAAATAAAATAAAATATATGCTTTCCCCATATTTCAAAGTGAGGAGTTTGGAGCAAATTCAAAACAAAATGTTGATTCTCTTGGCTTTTATGTTGATATTAATTTTTAATCTCAGCCATGTGTCTATCTTTTCAAAGCTGAATGGCAATAATTGCTCCTTATTAGTTAAGTTATGCCAAGTTATGATCCTTTTTCAGTTATGTCAAGTTTGTAACTTGACAAAGAAAGTCCTTCTTTGGCAGGACTTTGGGAAAGTCTGAGCTATTGAAACCAGGTGTCCTCAATTTCAACCTGGGAAACTCCCGCCAGGAGGCGGTAGCGAGACTGTGAGTTCCCAAACACAAAATTTTTATTAAGTGGGGTTTTGTCCTCTTGGGGAGAGGGGCTACCAAACAGCAAGGAAAAAAAAATCAGATCTCAAAAATCCACCTTATTGTCTTTTAAAAAATGGCCTTAGATTGTGGCATGAGGATATGCTCTGGGTAAGTCAGATTGGGTGGGAAGCCAAGTTGCTAGAAGGACTCAAGAAGAGAAAATCCTCATGGCTACATGGAGCGTACGCCTCGCATTGGGCCAGCTTTTTCTTTCTGACCAGGCAAGGTGACTTGATAGGATTTTCCGCAGCAGAAGGAGTGCTTTCTGCCAAGGGAGAGGCAGCCGGTCGGGGTCTCGCCCAGCCAGAGCGCTGCCACAAGCAGGGTTCTCTTTGTGAGTCTCAGCAGCCACTTCCCATGTGGCTCTCAAGTCATGCCAGACCCAGAGTCCAAAATGTAGGTCAGCACTGCGTTTTTTCAGACGGGTACAAGGCAAGCAGCAAGTGCACCATAATGAATCCAAGCAGACTTCAAAGCAACAGGAAAGGGACTGAAAAGCAAACATTTTCCACAAGGCTTTGCATATTTTTAATGATAGGGCGTGAGGACTAACAATACCAGGGCTGGATAGGATTCTACTTAAGAACAGAGGATAAATCTTGAGAACCCTTTGATATTTTTCTGGTTAACTCTGGCTCTGACATATTTAGGGAAAAGGGACTCTTGTAAATTTAGTTTCACAGGCTGTAGACTTTTTTTCAGTAGGCAAAGTCTTCAAATCAATCACTCGACAAAGCATTAGAAAAGTTCTGGAGTAATTGAACTAAGTTCATTTAGCATAAAATCACATGTGTGTTACAAAGTTAAACACAAGTATACCTATTTTTTAGACCAGAGTGTTTTTTAAAGGCACTCTATTTTTAACTTCTAAGCAGCTCTACTAAGCCAAGTCACTCAGTCTACTCCCCAAAATGTAAACTTCAGAGAAAGAAATGCTGTTGGTCAATCACTGGGCCTCTTCATGGCTCTGCTAAAGGCTGGCAAGACGGTTTGGCAACCTGTCTGTCCAGATGTCCTTGCAAGGCAACACCAGAAAAAAAGAAAAAGTTCTGCTCAAGATAAATCATATTACTAAAAGAAACCCAAATGCTACATTTTGGAGTCCAGGATTTTAACTTGAGGAAAAACACAGCACTAAAAATGGGGAAGAGGACAGAAATGGGAAGCATGGGAAAGTGTCTGCCACCAAAGGCAAGGGAGCAGTGTGACTGTTCTATCCTATCTTGGCAGAGACTTCCTTCTCCCTGAGAAAACAAAATCCATAATAGCTGGGCATGACCCAGATTTACCTTTCTAACCTATAATCAAACGCACTTCTAAGTTTGTGTTTTAAACGGCAAAAAGCCATTCGAATTTTTCTTTCTAACATAGTCAGTAAAGCCTGGTTCACCATCCTGCTCCTTTTCATCAGTGTTGCGCTTGTAAGAGAATCCTGTTAGTTTCCACCTACCACACCAAAATGGCAGGATATCTTTCTAGCAGTAGATCTTTTCCATCTTGAAAATAAACACAGTGGTGAAGTAGATTACACCCTTCTCATTGGCTGAATTAAAAGTCTTTGTCAAGCAGTCTTACCTCCCTTTTGGGCTCATTTTTCTGAAAGAAGCATCATTTCCCAACAAATTTTATGCCCTCAATGTTGCTTTTGTGGTCCCATGTGGAATAAGAAAAGTAATCTTAGAAGTCATTAAAAAAGGAAATTCTTTCTTTCTTTCTTAGGAGACACGGCAGAGAGGCAGATAAAAATATAGCAATAAATACTGGCCACAGTAGAAATATGAAAATATGATGTTCCTATTTTATTTTACTTTTTTTAAAGATTTTTTGAAATTATATCCTGGAATTTGGAAAAATGAACACACATCAAGTTGAGATAATCTAGTAAAACATGACACTGACACCCAAACCAATGAGGGTCATGGACTTGTTTGACTATCATTTTGATTATCTTATTGCATCTCACTGTGAACTTATGGAAAAGAAAGCACATTAGCGTGGAAGGGGTGCCAGGTCCCATTCTCTCCTTTGTCCTTTTACGTATGGCCTTCCAGAGTGACCAGAATAATTGGGCCAAACCATGATTTACTGTGAAAGAATCACATCCCTCATCAGACTGGGATCAATAGATCGGCTGCCTGCCTTTCAAACACCTGAAACTGCTGCTCTTGGGGAAATATTTATATAAAGAACACTGGGAAAGAGCCAGCTTTTCCTCCACACTGGAAGCAGGAAAGACTGCCTCTGGTGAAGACCAATTCTGCATCCCCCTAATTCCTGTCTATAACTCTGGACTTCCCCTCCTTTGGCCCACATTCTTCTTCACTGTGAGGATGGTACAGAACACAGCATAGCGTAACATTCTGGGGCTTCGCCTTAACAGAGTCCATAATTGATCCACAGATCTCTCCACCCAGCTAACACGTAAGAGGCAACAGTCATGTACATGGACCCACGCTAGGCCATCAAAAGCCCCAGTGCAATGATGCTGTGACAACCCCTCAGCATTAAGAACACTCTTTCAGCCCCTTCAGAGGACTTTTGTGAGGATCTGGGAGCCACCAGACTTGGCTGGGCCACATGACCCTTCCTCACCACACTGTCCTCTCAACCGCCCCACAAACCTACAGCCTGTTATGTGGGCATCCCATGGGCTGCTCTGCCTGCCTGTGAGGTGCCTGTTTTCTTTTGTTCTGTGTCCTTTCTGGCTGGGAGAGCCATCCCCACATCCTGGGTGCACTCGGGGCCAGCTGCCTGTGGTGGTACCTGCTCCCCTCTGGTCTGACCTCAGTGGTCATGTTTCGCTGACTTCTCGAAACAGGGGAAATGGCAAGACCCTTGGCTCCGGGACTGCTTTCCCCACACCTCCTGCCACAAATGGTTGCATAATCACTCACTCTTTCTTTCACGATGACAAATGTGCTTGATGTCATTGTGTTGTGTGTATGTGTGTCTCCGTGTAGCAGAGAAGAATGGGAAACAGGAGTCATGTCATCAGTTCATCAAAAAAAAGAGAAAAAAAACTGTTATAAAAACAAGTTAAGAAGCAAGTTCCTTCTTCACTTTCCTCTCTTACTCTGGCTTTTTACCTGCCTGGCCTCAAATCAAAAATTCACCTGAAAATTAGCTATTATCCCCTTTGCCTGTATTCTAAAAGAGTATAAGCCTGCCTGTATGTTTGCTGATTTTATGTTCCTTGAATTTGAGTCTTAAATCCAGACAGGGCAAGAAAACTATTATATTTAAATTTTTAGTGTCCAAAAATATCACACAGCACTATTACTTAGGGTTCTGCTTGGTCCCATGCCTCTCTTGCCCTGATTAAACTTTTTATATTAAGACTTTAATGCAACATGGGTCCAGAATTCATCTAACAATCTCATTTTCCAAAATACAACCATAAACCAGCATGTAGGGCACAAAAACTTTCTGAGTACCCCAATTACATGCTATAGAAACCATGTGCTAAAGGTATCAATAATTCATAACATCAAAAATTAAGGAAAATACACAATTGTATTAATGAAATTAAACAGATATTACTAAAAAAGTTTCTAATAAAAACAGGGATTTAAAAAAAAAACTACTTGAACATGAAAAAGACTGTCTACTAGAAACCAGTAACAAACAGGAAACTATACTGGAGCCATTTTCAATAAAATTAGGAACAAGACAGGAATTCCCACTTTTATTTGTATTTGTCAACACTCACTTAGAAGTCTGGGCTTCCCGCATAGCTCAGTTGGTAAAAAATCCACATGCAATGCAGGAGACCCCAGTTCGATTCCTGGGTCAGGAAGATCCGCTGGAGAAGGGATAGGCTACCAACTCCAGTATTCTTGGGTTTCCCTTGTGGCTCAGCTGGTAAAGAATCTGCCTGCAATGTGGGAGACCCCAGTTTGATTCCTGGGTCGGGAAGATCTGCTGGAGAAGGGATAGGCTACCCACTCCAGTATTCTTGGGTTTTCCTTGTGGCTCAGCTGGTAAAGAATCTGCCTGCAATGTGGGAGACCAGGGTTCAATCCCTGGGTTGGGAAGATCCCCTGGAGAAGTGAAAGGCTACCTACTCCAGTGTTCTGGCCTGGAGAATTCCATGGACTGTATAGCCCATGTGGTTGCAAAGTCAGACACCACTGAGCAAACTTCACTATTCCACTATACTATTTTGAAGTTTAAATTAATGCAATCACTCAAGTAAATGACATATTACAAATACTGAAAAGAAGAGACTAATTTAACTTTATCTGTAGATAATAAAATAACCTTAGTGCTTGCTAAAAATAACATGAGAATTAACTAAGAAGTTTGCTAGAGTGACTAAATAAAAAATAAATATTCAAAGGCAAGATTTTCTTTATCCAGAAATATCCAATTAAAAACTTAAATGGTCCTCTTCAAAAATTATAAAATACTTATAAATAAATCTACTAAGAAAGTGTGAAGCCTAAATTGGAGGAGGAAAACATTCTACAGTATCTTATTAAAAGTCATAGACCAGAATTTTAGAAAGAAAAAAATTAGAGAGGAAGGTTAAAGGAATTTTTAATTCACAGATATCAAAAAATAATGATAGCTAATACTTATACAGTTTCTAGATATCATTCAAGTTAATAATCACTAGTATTTATACAGTTCATAGAATCACTCAACTACAATAATAGCTAATATTTGGAAGATTTAGCACTGTTCTAAAAGCTTTAATATACTCATTTAATCCTTAAAACAGCCCTAGAAGAAAGTACAATTGTTTGAACATTATAGATGAGCATATTTCCAAGGACACAGGTTTCAAATTCTTTGTTTGGGGCTATTATACTCTTCTGCCTCTCAAGCTTCTTTCTCTAGTTTTACAGACACAGCTAACAAGCTTGGTTATCAAATCTTTCAGGATACAATGGATTAAAGAGCAAATTAGAGGCTGCGGGCTGAACAAAGCACTTTGGGTAACACCTGACCACCTAACACACAAAGAGGACAAGCAGTGGATATGAAATCACACACCACACAGGCATCAGGAGAGACCTGTAGGTCCCACCAGGTCTTATTCCTATCACCACCACACAGTGAAACAACACATATTCTTAAGAGCACACAGCATCATAGGAAGGTAACTTTATGCCTGACATATTTTTTTAAAGATACCTAAGTACACACCCTATTTTAAAATAAATCTGTCCCCAAATCTTTAAAATGTTAGAAATGCTGGGGTTTGAAGTGGCTGTCCTAATCACTTAACTGTGTAGAACTCATCCATCGTGGGTTTCTGATATTTTCTCATTTTTTAAAAAAATGCTTTGTCTGCATCTTCAATTCACCATTGCTGTCAGTGGTCCAGTGGCTATGCACTGCGTTGGGAAGGAATCTGTCAAATACACTGATACCTTAGAGATGCTTCTTGGAAGAATACAGGACAGTCACCGACAAGTGGTAGTAAATGTGTTCCCCGGCCCCTCCCAACTTTGCTTTCCTGCTGGAGTCAGAGAGGCACGAGGCTGCCCTTACCTTTCCCCTGTGTACCCGGGACTGCAGTGACATTGACCCGTGGCAGCAGCGCATGTCCCTCCATTGTGGCACTGACATTCCTGCGAACAGTTCTTTCCAAAGCGACCCTCGGGGCAAGGCTGACCACACACGGTGCCCTGCATTCAAAGAGACGTGGAAAATTAGATGGGCCTCCAGTCCGGGGAAGGGTCAAAGAAGAGAGAGAAGGGGAACAAAGAGAGGAAGCAGGAAGGGAAGGCAGGATATGGGAGCAGGGCTGCACAAAGATTAGATAAAGGAGATTTTAGAAGACATAAACTCTGTTTATCATCTCAAAGATATTAGAAATTCTAAACTGACTTATTTTCTTAGTAAGCCTAAATTTCAAGATACATGCATAGGTGGCAGCAAATTAATCATAAATACCTATGTTAAAAAAAATGCAGTCGCCTCAAATGATTATGGGGAGCTAAGGAATTTACAAATCCTTCTAAGTGTTCTTCCTTGGGTCTTACATGTGCAGTAAGTGAACAGCACTCATTGAGCATCCATTATATAAATGATAACATCTGGCCCAAATGGAATATTCAAATACTTTACCATATGTTCTAGAGAAAATACACCTTATCATTGGTTTTATTTCTTATAAGGAAGCATTACAAAAAGGATTGACATTTTGTGTATCTGAATTAACATTAACATTGCCTAAGAAATACTTCAACAGAAACAATTCTAGACATTTTATTTTGGAAGAAAAGACACTTATATTTTCAGCAGGTTCAACAAACATTGCTGGGCCAAGATCAATAGGAAAACTAATTTCCTGGGAGAGAAATCGAGAGAGTAACTTGGACACATCTTCTCACCCTAGAGGCTGTCTGTCTTGTCAGATACTGTCATATTTATTCCAGTCCTATGTGGAGAAGCATAAGATACTTTACCAATAACTCAACCAAATACTCTACTATTTTCTACTTCCTTTGGCTACATAACTTGGCTTTGTAGCTTATCATGTATTTATTGGAGTTACTATTACATCAAAGAAAATAACCCCAAATAACAGGGATTTTTACAATTTTTTTTTACAATGTTTTTAACTGTTGGAAGCTGTTGCTTTGTCCTCCTTCTCTATAAAAAAGACAGACTGTGGGCACTCTGAAATTGGAGGCTAGCGAACACCAGATGGTTTTGTAAATGTTTATTTTGGATAGCATAAGAAAATACATTTCCTCTAACTCCTGGCTACCCACAAAGGCAGTTGGTGTGCTAATTAAGTCTCCTCTGGTGGTTTCTAGCTATCTACCAATGAGGAAAGTTCTTCCAGAATCTTGGAAATGAAAAAGCCTTTGAGAGATGATTCAAATCAGTGCTTAAGTGAGAATCATCTATGTGCCAGGCATCGTGCTAAGCTCTGAGAATCCAAGATAAAGTCACAATCTTTAATTAGCTCACAATATGATGAGGGAGACAGATATAAAAATAGCTCTGACCCCTCATTCTAGCACAACATATTAACATGACTAGATGAAATAAATATGCCAAGGGTCAATCCATGGTAAGCCAGGGTTCTGGTGAAAATTCTCACTCTCTCAGGAACTACTCACATTTTGTAATGGTGCCACATACGCTTTAGAGACCCTGTTGAAATACCGTTTGCAAAGAAGGATTAATGTGAGTTAATAGCTTTAAGTAGAATATTACTGGGCTTCCCAGGTGGCTCTAGTGTTAAAGAAGCTGCCTGCCAAAAAAAGAGAAAGAAACAAAGAACCTGCCTGCCAATGCAGGAGACTCAGGATACATGGGTTCGAACCCTGGGTCAGAAAGATCCCCTGGAGGAGGGCATGGCAACCCACTCATGCCTGGAGAACTATGGGCAGAGGAGCCTGGTGGGCCACAGTCTACAGAATAGCAGAGAGTCGGACACGAATGAAGTGAATTAGCATGCACACAGGACGTTATTAGTTGAAATATATACTTGTGGATGTGTAATAGGAATATATATCCATCTATGAAAAGCACCTAGAATTACTGCACAAATAAAATGTTGCAAAGAGAAGTGTAACTTGGAAGCTCAGCCGCACTTAGAGAAAAATGACCTGAAACATTCAGTAAGAAACATCCATCAAGGTAGGAGTGCAGAGCATACGGGAGGCTCCACTGGGCTGATGCAGAGGGCCATCTGTCCACCCCCTGGGATGCACGGTCCAAACTTGTGGTTACCAGCATCCTACCTCATGAGCACTCCAACCCAGAGGAAGAAGAAGGCTTCAACCTCAAGATGAGGCAACTCTACAGACAACATCTACACAAAAATTCCGCAAGTGCCATTCCTACAGCTCCTCATCCAAAGAACATGGAGCTGCCTGGACACTCCGCTACCTCAGCAAAATCCATCCCTTGCCAAGAACCAAGTAATGACCAGTGCTGGCAAAAGGCTGACTATAAGAAATAAAAGAAGAGAAGGAATCAAAGATATTTCAGTATTTCTACTTTGGGCAACTAAGAAAGAAGCGTTGGTTTTAATGAAGAAAAAAAAGAAAAAAAGGTAAAAAGGGAATCACCTTAAGAAAGGTTTAGCTGTGTGGCAAGTTTGGTTCTATCAACGCTGACTTTGACGGGCCTGTTTCCAGGTCAGTAGTTCTTCAATAGCTTCTCTATTTGCCTCACCATCAGATACTCAAAAAAACACCCCCTTGCACTGGCTCCATTGCTTCATGGAGTTTCTCCAGCCTCTGCTTCCTTGTCTTATCTGCTTATCGTTTCCAATTCTTGCCTTGGGTCTGGTATTTCTTTTTCACTTCTCCCAGTGGTCTTACCATCTGGAACCCAATCTTACTTCCCATGATTCTGACTAGAAGTGGACTCCAAGTCTTCTTTGGTCTATTCCTACAACAAGGGCAATCTTATGTCTGTCTCCTAAGGCTCCAGCCTAGGCATAGTTCAGGCAGAGAGTGACTCCATGTCTTTAGGTGAAACTACGGTGGGGAGCCTAACAGCACAGTGACAAATACAATCTGTGTTCAGGTCAGAGAAAGTCAAGGTTGAGAAAAATCAGCTGATGATTGTTAAAGTAATGGATCTCAATGAGATTTCCAGGAAAGATATCTAGTGAGAAAAGAGAAAAACTGGCATGAAATACAGAAAATAAAATGATATATAAAAAAAAGAGGGATTAGGAAAGAGATCTTTAATAAGAGAGGTAGGAGAAGGGGTTTTCAAAGAAGTGGAGAGAGAGATTAGGAAAGGGAAGTGGATGAGCAACAGAGTCAAAAGCTTTGGAGGAATGAAGTAGAATGAAGATGGAGGAGTTGTTACTGAATCTGGCAATTACATCACTTGTACGCCTGCAAGAGCAACTTCACTACAGCTCATGGAGATGCAAGGTAGTCATGAAGTAAACTGCTGTTTTGTTTTCTGTATGTTAATGAAGGAAACAGACATTGATCATTCACTCTTCTGCCTTCAAGCAGACTTTTACACAAACCAATTCAGAGAAACACGAACCAATATTATTTTTTGATTTTAGAGTAATCTACCTAGTGAACCAGCTTTGACATTGTGTATTCCACAGAAGATTAAGCCTGTGAGATACTACATAAAGAAAGAGTATCACAGTCAAAATTTGGGGAGTGTGGTGAGGTATAGATTCTTACACTGAAGGCTCTGAGTTCTTCAATACTTGGAAAACTTGGTTTACCTCAATGAGTCTCCAGATTCAAAGACCAAATAACTTTTTCACACAACACTTAACCTGTTGAGAATAATGTTCCCAAAGAATAATAATGATCCATAGAACATAATTGTGAAAATGCTTATTTGAATACTTACAGTGTTTAACAGCATTTGCTGTCATGTGAGAGGCGAGATATTTCCCTTTTATATCCTGAAGGGAGATGCAGGACAGATGGCCTACTAACTTTTCCATGAGGACCCTTAGTATAAACTTCAAGTTCAGGATTTAATCACCAAGAGGTAGGAGAAGGGGTTTTCAAAGAAGTGGAGAGAGAGATTAGGAAAGGGAAGTGGATGAGCAACAGAGTCAAAAGCTTTGGAGGAATGAAGTAGAATGAAGATGGAGGAGTTGTTACTGAATCTGGCAATTACATCACTTGTACGCCTGCAAGAGCAACTTCACTACAGCTCATGGAGATGCAAGGTAGTCATGAAGTAAACTGCTGTTTTGTTTTCTGTATGTTAATGAAGGAAACAGACATTGATCATTCACTCTTCTGCCTTCAAGCAGACTTTTACACAAACCAATTCAGAGAAACACGAACCAATATTATTTTTTGATTTTAGAGTAATCTACCTAGTGAACCAGCTTTGACATTGTGTATTCCACAGAAGATTAAGCCTGTGAGATACTACATAAAGAAAGAGTATCACAGTCAAAATTTGGGGAGTGTGGTGAGGTATAGATTCTTACACTGAAGGCTCTGAGTTCTTCAATACTTGGAAAACTTGGTTTACCTCAATGAGTCTCCAGATTCAAAGACCAAATAACTTTTTCACACAACACTTAACCTGTTGAGAATAATGTTCCCAAAGAATAATAATGATCCATAGAACATAATTGTGAAAGTGCTTATTTGAATACTTACAGTGTTTAACAGCATTTGCTGTCATGTGAGAGGCGAGATATTTCCCTTTTATATCCTGAAGGGAGATGCAGGACAGATGGCCTACTAACTTTTCCATGAGGACCCTTAGTATAAACTTCAAGTTCAGGATTTAATCACCTTCTGCCTTCTCTGGACTAAAAACTTCCTGCTTTGAAATGGTCAGGTATTTCCAGGTTTGAAATTTTTATCCATTGATGTGACATTCTGCTGTATTAAAGTTCTCCACATGCATTTTCACTCGAGTATCCTGGAACAGGGGGCTCTGGCGGGTGGGGCGGGGCACTTACCAGCCAGCCAGAAGGACAAGAGCACTCTCCAGTGACGTGATGACAGACGCCTCCATTCTGGCAGGGGCATCTCTGCTCACACTGTGGTCCATGCTTGCCAGGGGGACAAAGATCCTCACAGCTGAGGGATTAACATGTGACAAAGGACACCATAGTTTACCCAAACTGACAACCCTTAGGTTCACAAACACAGCAGCACCCAGGACCCTAAAATAGACAAGCTCCCCTGTTCAATATTATTCGTTTCATTAACATCAAGAGCACCAATCATACTGACTGGAAGGGTCAAGGGGTCACCTAGTCCTTCCCCTTTGGGGGGATACTTTCTACTGAAACCATTTCAGTTTGAGGAGAATCTGTCCTCTCGGAGAGATGACTCTCGCTGGCCACACACTCCTCAGTGACAGGATCTGCCCATGCAACTCTCAAAAAGCCCATGGCTTACACTGGAAATACACTTGGTGTGTCTGTTCTAATCTCAAAGAAGAATGAAACATCTGTACATCTCCTAATTAGTACATATTCCTTGTACTCAATTTTTAGCATTCTACTCTTCAAAATGATGAGCCCCCATATTATATGAACATATCTCCTACCCTAAGCCTTGTCTTTTTTGCTCTCCTATGAAACTGCTCCAAATTTCTCAAAGCCTTATTCAACTGGGACCTTGATAAAAAAACCCATAAAAGCAACATTAACAATGAAATAGTCTGAGATGTTCATCCATTTTTCTGAAAATCAGGGCTTTCTTGGCTAATTCAAATTTTTCTTTAGCTCTACTTTACAGCCCCAACTCTGTCAGTAGGAAGTAGTTACCTAATGAGCCACATTTTTTTCAAGTTCTAGCTCTGTGATTTACAGGTGTAATTTTCTCAGTAATGGAACAAGAGTTTTTTTTTAATCTCGCTTTTTTGGGCAAATTCTGCCTCTTAGTCTGGTTGCTAATACAAGCAAACCAAAGAATGCCCTTCCCACAAAATAAAGAAAGTAGTAGAGATGAGGGCTTCCCTGGGAGCTCAGCTGGTAAAAAAAACCCACCTGCAGTGCAAGAGACCTCAGTTTAATTTCTGGGTCAGGAAGATCCCCTGGAGAAGGTATAGACTACCCACTCTAGTATTCTTGGGATTTCCTGGTGGTTCAGACAGTAAAGAACCTGCCTCCAATGCAGGAGACCTTGGTTCCATCCCTGGGTTGGGAAGATTCCCTGAAGGAGGGCATGGCAACCCACTCTAGTATTCTTGCCTGGAGAATCCCCATACACAGAGGAGCCTGGTGGGCTACAGTCCATGGGGTCGCCAAGAGTTGGACACAACTGAGCAATTAAGTACAACACAGCAGAGATTAAGTACTTATTTCTATGTTTTCCAGAAAGGATTAAACTGTGTGCACATATACAACACAAATATGATACAAGTCCTTTTATATTCACAAAACAACACATACATATCTATGAGCATTAAATAACCCAGTTAACTTTTGAGCATGAACTATTTCTAACATCTATTTCCTTCTCTAAGGCACTGTACTCATCCTCTTTTATCCATCTAATTAACTACCACACAGAGCAGAACAACATGGGCCATTAATAGCCAAAAGTGTAAAATGAATGCAATCGAGGGAGTATCAAAGTGTAAAATGAATGCAATTGAGGGAGTGTCAAAGTGAAACCCAAATCTGCCCCAGCAACCCCAAATATTGCCTTTCAACACAACATCCAGGCCCTGTATCTCTGCTCTGCCAAAGGAAGGCATGGAAGCTGGTTCTGAGAGCCTGACCGGGCTCTGATGCTCGACAAACAGCAGGAGCACCTAGCGGCCATCACTGCCTGGAGTCCTGTCCCCTCAGTAACTCCTGAGGCAGGCAGAGAGACAGCAGCACCGGAATATGAGGCCGGCAGCGGCAGGAGCAGAGGGTGGGCGCGCTCTGCCACGCTGCCCAGCGGCGCGTCACTTACAAGGCTCCAGTGTACCCGGGTGGGCAGCGGCATTCCCCGGTGACATGATCGCAGGTCGCTCCGTTCTGGCACTGGCATCTCTGGTGACAATCGTTACCGTAGGTGCCCTGCTCGCAGCGCTCCTCACAGCGCCAGCCCCGGAAGCCCGCGGCGCAGTGGCAAGCCCCCGTGATGGGGTTGCACAGCGCCCCGTTTCTGCACTGGCACCGGCTGGTGCAGTGAGGCCCCCAGTGATCACCGTCGCAGGCTGAGGTGGGGAAGGAAAGAGCGGAGGGCATCAGAGTGTGGGTGTGGACAACGCAAGCTCTTCAGCAGCAGCTTCCCTCTCCCCTTGGAGAGAGTGGCCGGATGACCCCTTTATCCCCGTTTCTCCACTGAGCAGCAGGGCCTGGGTACACACCCACGGCAATATGTCCCTGGTGCTCAGCAGCGGACCACTTTCCACCACTCCACGACTCAAGCATCGCTATCCTGTTCAACTCCAGGCCTGTGCCCAGCCTGCTCACTGCGCCTGGAGTGTTGCGTGTGATGCGGGCAGAGTCGCTGGCCAGGGGAGGGTGTGAGCGGTTGTGAGCAGAGAAGAGGCCGACTAGACAGGTGNGACTCAAGCATCGCTCTCCTGTTCAACTCCAGGCCTGTGCCCAGCCTGCTCACTGCGCCTGGAGTGTTGCGTGTGATGCGGGCAGAGTCGCTGGCCAGGGGAGGGTGTGAGCGGTTGTGAGCAGAGAAGAGGCCGACTAGACAGGTGGGAATGGACAGCTTGTGCAGGGGTTCTATACACATCAAGAAGTTTGGATTGTATCTAGTTGACAGAGGATTGGTAATAAAGGATTTTAAGCACTGGCGGTCAATGGAGATTTGCCTTCTAGTAAGATCAGCTGCCTACAGCATGAAGAAAGGGCAGGAAGGAGCTGACAAGAGACAGGAGACCCGGCAAGAAGCATGGCATCAGCGGCTTAGTGAGGAGGCCTGGACTCACTCAGTGACCAGAGGGACAAAGAAATGACCCATGTGCAGTCCGCTGTGGAGTGCGCTGATCCTGCTAGCTATGGGCCTGGGCTGAGCTCCCGGAAAGGGAATTGATGGGCTTTCACGATAAATTAGTCAAAATATGTGTGATTGGGAGGTAACCAGAAAAGGCAGGAAAAAAAACTGACTAAAATGTTTAAGTCATTGAGTTATTTTAAAAATATAACAAACCTGAGCCTGAAAATGGACAGCAAATAAACAGGTAAGAGGTAGATAAAACCAGGAAAGACAAAGGCAAAAAAAAGCATTTAAAAGGCTTTAAGATGCATTTCCCAAGAAAAGGAATAATGGCTTTGATTCAAGTCAATGAGCAGGAAAAAGCAGAGAAGAAAAATCTTCAGCTGCAAACATTCTAAAACTTATCAAGGGTGACAATAAGCAAAGTCTACTCTTAACATGCATTGCCTACTCAGTCATCCATTTACTAATTAGATGCTATAAAAATCACTGGGGAAGAAGTACCCTGCCTAGAGTTTCTAGGATAAATTGCCTTTGTGATAAAACAAAGTTTCATTTCACAAACATTTTGTAATGTCAGATACAGAATAAACTATTGAAAAAAACAAAACTAGGCACACAGAAAACAACTTTTTAGACTTGCAGGATTCATCTTCCAGTATTAGAAACTACCTTTCATTTCATAATATCAAAAGTTTAAATGAATAATTCTGTTTCTAATAAGCATGGCTTTAGTCTTATTAGTACTTTAATAAACATACTTTAACACAATTAAATAAAAGCAGTGAGAAAGAATTATTGAACCTAAAGCAGATCAAGAAAGCAATTACCTAAGAACAATCTTCTTTCACAAAATAAGATTAGGTGATGGTTCCAAGATGAGATTTCAGCCTATTATTCATATGAGTAGTTTTTTTTTTTATTGCCTGTGGATATGGACAACACTGTTTTTTCTTTCAGTTTTAATTCTTTCAATCTAAGATCATTCTTAAAAAAATTACATGGTGTGTTTCTTGAAATCCTCCCAGCTATCTCAGTTGGAAAGGAATCTATCTTGTTCTGAAGGTTCCCCCAAAGTAAACAAGTCCTTTGTAACTAGTTCCCTGGTTCATCAGTCCTAAAAATAAGGAAAATCTTCATTCTATGTAAGCCAAAGCCATTATTCTACAATTTGATCCTCCCATCCCCCCACATCTTCTTCACAGTATAGTCAACCCAGTGAAGCATTGTTCTATATATTATAAATGATTTTATTCCTTAAATGTAAATACATCCTTGATGCCAGTATAGCCCAAATATATACTTAATACTACAACTTCAGTACTTTGATGTATTTTTTTAAAGTTTATTCAATCTCACATATTTTCTCTGCTGAATCCTCTCCAAAATGTCCATATTCCTTTCACCTTCTGGGTACGTCATATTAAAGTAAAGATCCATTTTTCCTTATATATAATGGAGAATTAATTAATTGACACAAGAAAACAATGTAGCTAATAAATCTACCTTGATAAGGATATCATGATCATGTTAAAAGAATTAAAACAAACAAACAGACAAACGAAATAACAACTCATGAAGGGTTAGAGTCCTTTTCCCTCACTGTGAAACTGGGTTAAGGGTGGGCTGGAGCATATACATTTTATAGAGTATATTTTACAACAGGAGGTAAGTGGTAAGAAGAAGCCAAGTACCTCAGGGACAGAGCTGGTCTCTCCTCTCCTTCATAACCCATTTATTTGCCCACCCCCTCCAACAGCTTCTCTCCCAGCACAGCAGTCAGACAGACCTCAGTTCTATTTTCTTATGATCAGACAAAAACAAAAACAAAACTCTTAAGATATCTCCTTGTGGATGACTATCAGCATCAATCCATCCACCCACGTAACACAGTAGTCAAGAGACATGAGTTCAATCCCTGGCTTGGGAAGATCCCCTGGAGAAGGAAATGGCAACCCACTCCAGTAATCTTGCTGGAAAATCCCATGGACAGAGGAGGCTGGCGGGCTGCAGTCGATGGAGTTGCAAAGAGTCAGACGCTACTGAGCACACACACACATACACCACATCAGCATCAAAGAAAGGGTTAAAGCATTAAAGAAATACTATCTTGCTGACATGGTTAATTTTCTGGCTGTGTCTAAGCACTGTGGCATGCTTTGAAGTGGCAGCTTCTCCCCTTGGGGTTGTATTTCCCTAAAAAAGTCACTGATACACATGCCTCACAATGTAAGTATGAGGCACCAACATGGACTCCGTTGAGAGGAAAATCCACAGACAGAAGTCTGCAGAAAAACAGACAGGAAGTAGAGTAAGTAAGATACAGAAGCCTGGCTTGAATGTAGGCGTCACTGTGACTTCCTTTTTTCATTTGTCACATTTAACTGCTTCAGTACATCCACTGTTAAACGTACCCCAGTGAGTTAACCAGTTTATCGCACAAAAGCCAGCTTTCTTCCCTGATTCCTGCATACACAAGAGTATGCCGAGGGTCCAGACAAGAGGCCGAATTTGTTCCTTATGTTTAGTGCCAAGCTTGGACAATTATCCTGAATTCAACTACTGCATTTGGAAAGATAGTTTGAAGAGGGTGAACTCAAATTATCTGGCATCTTTTAGTTATTTCACACAAAAAAGGGACAAATGTTTCACTCCTCAAGAAAAAGGGACTAGGTTGGTTTCTCCCACTGACAACCTTTTAAAAAATATATGTATAACTGAACCACTGTGCTGTACAGCAGAAATTAACACAACATTATAAATCAATTATAATTCAATAAAGTACATTTTCAAAAAAAAACAATGCAGTTAACATGGAAATAGCTTGAATAGCCTAACAGGAAAAGGCAAACGAACAAAATTTTGTTTCAGATTAATGAACTCAGATGCTAATAAGGGGGTGACGCCTCCTTTTCAGCTTCTGGTTTCAGCTCTTCTTGTGCTAACAGCTAGAAACAGGCTGTCAGATGCCATGTGCCCAGGTTCATGCAGATATTTCACGAGACAGCTTATCGAGGGTCTCAGCATAGACGGCTTACTCTAAGAAGCTCTCATAATAAGTTAAAAAAGTAAAAGGAAATAAACGGAATTTTCAACTACTATGCAATATCAGAAGTGCACAGTCCATGCTACAGACCTTAAGGACAACTAGCAGAGCATTGAAGAAAATGGACTTACCCCTGCCCTGATGGTTGTAACTTCTAATGACCAGGGGTTGGTTACACTCATGGGCTAGGGACTGACATTGGCTCAAGCTATATCTTTTAAGTACATGCCTTCTGCCAGGCATGGTACTAGACCTTGACTTCACACAAGAATAAGAAAGCTCATGCTTCTATAAGCTTACAGTTTAATGGCAAGGTGTCAAGTTAGTAGGCAAGAGCATAAATACCCTGTGATAAGCAGTAAGGTAAGCATATGGACATAAAAAGCAGAGACATGACTTTGTCAACAAAGGTCCGTCTAGTCAAGGCTCAGGTTTTTCCAGTAGTCATGTATGGATGTGTGAGTTGGACTATAAAGACAGCTGAGCACCAAAGAATTGATGCTTTTGAACAGTGGTGTTGGAGAAGACTCTTGAGAGTCTCTTGGACTGCAAGGAGATCCAACCAGTCCATCCTAAAGCAGATCAGTACTGGGTGTTCATTGGAAGGACTGATGTTGAAGCTGAAACTCCATTACTTTGGCCACCTGATGTGGTGAAGAGCTGACTCATTTGAAAAGACCCTGATGCTGGGAAAGATTGAGGGCAGGGGAAGGGGACGACAGAGGATGAAATGGTTGGATGGCATCACCGACTCAATGGACATGGGTTTGGGTGAACTCCAGGAGTTGGTGATGGACAGGGAGGCCTGGCGTGCTACAGTTCATGGGGTTGCAAAGAGTCGGACACAACTGAGTGACTGAACTGAACTGAACTGAGCAACTGAGCTGAGCAACTGAGCTGAACTGAAGCATATGGACTGTGTACAACGGAAAATGCAGGGATGACATTAACTACTGTTGGTGAGCAGGGAAAGGCTCCCCTGACAAAATGATGTCTGAGATGAGACCTAATGGCAGAGTGAACCATATTTAGGTAAAGCGTGAAGAATTTGTATGTAGAAAAAGGAGGAACTGCAAGAAGAGAGAGGTTGCAGGCAGTTTTACATTCAGAAAGAAGGATACATCCAACAGCCAAAAGGTTTTGAAAAGACAAACAATCATGAATGCTCTCTTGGGGTTCTATGCTATTACATCATGGCCCTTATCATCTTTCTT